TACAGTCCACCCGCCGCTACGGTTTAACGTGTATCTCGTACAACACGCGCGACACGCAACCGCGGCCGCTTTACATGTTTGGGTAGTAATAGCCACCGCGACTCGACAATCTTTCCCCGCATCGTGCTGCTCTCCCCGCGATGTTTTATAGAAATTCAGTCGATCCGATCATGCAAACGGCAGAAACGAATTTTATCGCGCGCGATTGTGCCAGAAACGATATCATTGGCAGGCGAGCGTATCATTTTATTCGAAAAGTCCTAGCTCTGTCACAGATCGATATGTCGAGTGTCACGAAGGTGGAACGGCGAGAGCGAAAATTCCGCCTCGCGCCGAAAGGGATCGCCGGATCTCTCGGCGCATTGTTCGCGTCGCCAACACGTTGCCTTTTCGTGCCCTCTGTTTTTCCACGACCGCGGTTTCGCGAATCTTAGTCCCTTCAGCACTGTGTCTCACTCGCATATAATCGAAATCTCTCTCTCGTCATTCATTTGTAATAATTTACAGCCGATTCATTCGACTCTCGGTTGCCGAGCAAGTTTGTATACGGAAAGAATTGTAACTTTTTTTTATTTTCATATAAATTCTTCTTAATTTTAGAGCTTCCAGTAGCGCAGAAATAGATTCGGGATGATCTATCTTGCTGTGGAATATACACTCAGAGAAAAAGCATGATGAGATGGCGACCTGATGGTATACATGATAACTACGAGCATGTATTTTGCATGTAGAATTAATGTAAAAAGACGTAAAATTAATGTAAAAAAGACGATAGGTAAAATGGATCGATTTTGACCTAAAAAGTAAAACGTAAGGTATACATGTAATCTTACGTTTCTCAGATTGCTGAATATGATGGTAGCACTTTTATCCGTTTGAACTCGTGGGAAAGTCGATCAAAATTCTAATTAAAGGGATCGAAATAAGTCCTCTCTAATAGTAATTTGGTTAATAGTGATTTTTTTTAATTATTAAATTATTTATATTACAGTTTAGATTTATAATTTTTTTTTCAAAACGCCAAGGAAAACTTCAAAATTAAACATTTCAGAAATGCTAAGTCTAATATAAATTAACACACTTCGCTAAAGACACACAGCAAATGTTTAGTAGCACATTTTAGTAGAATATATAAAGCACATACAAAATGAAAGGATAATAAATTAATCCAGAGTCTATTCCTCGGCCACAAAATTAAACATTTCAGAAATGCTAAGTCTAATATAAATTAACACACTTCGCTAAAGACACACAGCAAATGTTTAGTAGCACATTTTAGTAGAATATATAAAGCACATACAAAATGAAAGGATAATAAATTAATCCAGAATCTATTCCTCGGCCACAAAATTCTGCGGTAATCTTTCCTACGAAATGTTCTCCGTGTAATCAACTGCTGAAATGACAAGAAAATAAAATGACTGCTGAAAATACAAGAATGAAAGAGAACATGTTGTTATTGACATCATAACATCGAGAATCAACGTGTCGAACAATCAATACTATTTTCAAATATTTCATCTTTCTCAGCACAAAATATAATTCCGACATTACCGTTGGAGACGGCGCGGTGAAATTAATTGAGAAACGACGTGTGTTATTTTTTCAAGTTCGCGCTCCCTCTCGTCGTCGGCTCGACCAAAGCGATATTTATCGTTTTCACGTACGAACCATTAAAAAAAAAAAAAAATCATGAAAAATATTATTGCGCGCGGACAGCCGGTAGCGGGACTTCTTTTTTCCTCCGCTCTCGCGACGAGCGTGTTGTTCACTTTCCGTGCAACGGGACTCCGTCGTCGTCCTATAATTCAGGAACTCTAGTTGGAACAAAAGCAGCTCACGTATCGTCCATCTGCCCCCCTTTCACCCCGACCTCCTCTCTCCATCGTCCTCTCTCCTTCTGTCTCTCAGCGGGCTTGTTTCGGAATCATCTGCGACACAGCCGCGAGCATCTTCCACCTGCTAATCTCGAGGAAAGCTGCACGTTCCGAGCGGCTTCCACCTGTTAGTCATGGGGGAAAGCGTGTAGTCACGGAGTTCCTCGTTGTGGAAGCGGAGCTGGACGTGTTGCATCGCTCTTCCTCTCGTGCCATCTGCGCTCTCTTGCTCGAGAGCGGGAGGAGGGAGGCGAGAGATACAGAGAGAGAGAGAGAGGGGAGAGGGAGGGAGGGGGGGAGAGAGAGAGAAGATATATAGATAGAAGGGACGGAAGGAGATCGCGTTGCCGCGAGTGCATAACGTCGCAATTCGGAAGAAAGTACGCCATTACCTTCGACGCATCGTTGCACTTCGCGACTCGCTCCTCGGAGCAACGGACGTGAGCTGCAATCTTCCTTTCGCGCGTGAGCGGCTCCGCGGACCTTCCCCGGGTTTTAAGAGAATTTGGTTCTCGCGCGGATTAAGGCAAAAGTGCCAATGTTCGGACGTGTACTTGATCTAGAACATTCTTATTATTTTGGTCCTTAAACACGAGGATCTTATTTAGACTTGCACTATGTAAAAAACATATATACTTACGTCGGATATACATGTACACTGCCGGCCAAAAATTTGCAGTCGCCTATTGATTTTTCATAAAAGCGAATCCCTATGTTTCGTTACGGTTTGATGTTGTGATATTCAATAAACTGTAATTTTCAAGAAGGACAAAAGCATTGAAAGTGTCCCGAAATTGTTTCACAAAGTTCTATCGCTTATTCACAATGATCTGAAACTTTTGGCCGGTAGTGCGTATTCTACGGTGAAAGTTCGAATGTTTGTGCTTAAAGACCAAAACAATAAGGTCGTCTACGATCAGACGCGCGCGTGGTAATTGGTACCTCTAGCTTTACCGCACGCTGTCGCGCTGCCTTTCCGAAATCTGACGTTCGCGAAATGAAAAAGGGAAACGCGACAGCCCGCCTTGACCGCGCGAGAGAACTGCGAAAATGTCAGCGGATGTTAATCCGTCGTCGTTACGTTTACGCGCTGTTTATTATCGCGGTTTTAATTAATTTTAACAGAACGGGCAACAATTTCCGTGATTTGTAACTTGGGATGTTTTGTGTTTTGACGTGCGTCTTGCGTATCTCTCGCGTTATCCTTTGTTTTACGTCGACACTGCGGGACGCGGTGGCAATCTCTCTCGCCCTGCGCGCCGCTACTTCGCCTCCGGGTGCTTTTTACGACGAGCACGACGAAGGGATTTCCCTCCGGGGCGTGCCTTCTTCCTTGACCTCATTGTTGCAACTCATTTTAATATAACGCAACTTCAATAATTACGGCTATTATAATAACGGCCAGACCGACGGCGGACGCGAACGAAAACGCGGCGCTTTTGCCGTTGCTCCGCCACCGTGTGAAAACTTCCGACGAGACCTATTTTTCTCTCTCTCTCTCTCTCTCTTTCTTTCTCTCTCTCTTTCTCTCTTTCTCTGCGCGGGGAAACGCGAAATATGTCCTCCGCGATATTCAGAGTCATGACTTATTTATAATTTCTAAGCACACCGATCTGTGTGATTTAGGAGCCGAGGGCGATGATTTTCGCAACCATCCCGCGTGTCATTCCGAATTTATATTATTTCGCGTGCGCGGGCACTTGAAAATAACAGCGCACACACTCCGACACAATTTTCCCGCCGTTTTCACTTTCAGCGATTAGGTTTCTTGTTCCCTGTTCGCGAGAAACGTGATATTTGCGAGAAAGAAAATGAACACGTCCTACGCGTTGTAATTGGAATATTTTTGTGCAAAGTGGACTATTTAATTGTCCTGAATAAATCCTTAATAAATATTGCAACTTCTACATCCTAGGCGTCGCATTTGAAGAATATCGATCCGCAGAAATTAGATGAAGAAGGTTGCGATAAAAGATTTAGCTATTCCTCTGCGTGAAATGAAAACCGGGATGTTCATTTGTATTCCGAATCGATATTTCCCTTTTCTGCGTCATACATAAAACAATATCGCGATATTATATATTGATATTCCTCTCCCTACATCGATGTAAGAACAAGCGTGATCTTTCGTCAAGCAGCGGCGTCTCTCGCGAAAGCAGTTTCTCTCTTTCTCTTCCTCTATCTCTCTTTCTCTCTCTCTCTCTCGCGCGCGCGCGAATGTTCGATTCCGAACATTTCCATCGCGTGTTCTTTTTATTACTCGCGACCGTCGTAACCCCGTTCGAGGCGGCAGACGTGGAGCGTCCGCCACCCCCGCTCGCCCCTAGAATCCCGCTCGAAATTCCCCAAAGCAACGACTATCCCTTCCTCGAAGGTGATCCGTGAACACGTGCGGAGAACCCGACGCGCCCCTTATCCCCTAACCCTCGGCGCGTTTCACCCCTCGCTACGACGGTCATCCCTTCGTCTCTCCCTTCGGTGAGTGCAGCTCCGTTTTCCCGTCGCCTTTTCCGGCGAGTCGCGGCAACGCGCGGGGGGGAATAGTCGTCGGCGTCCCTCACTCCCTCCCCCCAGGCGCGCGTCCCTCGCCGCTCCGGCCCTCTCTTCGGCCCAGCGCGCGACCTGCTCCTCCGCGTTCCATCGTGAGCGCTCGATCCAACGTGTGCGCCCCCCTCTTCTCCTCTATTCTCCTTCTCGTCCTCCTGCTCTACCTCCCCTTCTCCTCTTCCTCCTCCTTCTTCTCTCCTCCACCTCCTCCTCCTCCTCCACCACCGCCTCCTCCTCCTCCTC